TTAACCCTACTGTTAGACCTACCTGAAAAACTAAAAAGCTATTTATTTAATTCGAAGGCCTGTCGTTATTTTTTATTTGTGCTATCATTATTAATTTCTTTATTTGTTTTTATTTTATTACTGACTGCTTACTTGTTAGTTTTTATTCAATTCAAAGTTTGAAATCGAGCTATCTCGTGCTACTGCACCAAAATTACCCCACTGTAAAATTTAAAAAAAACACTGAGTGAGCAAAAATTTGTGAGATAGCTAGTTATAATGGTAATTAAATAATGTTTAGATATGTATAAAAGCCTACATTAAAATCTGTCATATAAATTGGTCTCTTCATTAGAAATTAACCTACTGATTGCCACCATAGATGGACAATTTTTTTTAATAATATAAAAAATATCTATATGACATTATATTCTGCAGTTCTTCCCTGTTGTACCGAATATCTATACTTTTCAAATGATCATATCGAAGTTAGAAATTCAAATATTGTGACAATTAATTTTGTAGGGAGCCACAAGTTTGTTAAAATTTCCAAAGGGTGCCGCGACTAAAGAAAGGTTGGGAAACACTGCTCTAGTGGACGTGTAACGCAGGTTCGGCGTTATCAGCCGCAGTCGTCTGCTGTTACGTGGAGCCCTAACTAGACAACTCAGTGCCAAGCCAACAGGCGAGATAAATCACAACCGATGCACATCACCCGAATGAACTCGGACAACAAGCGGATGAACCATTTCAGTGCAGTTAAATCACCAAAATAGCTTGATTTAGTATGATTTCTAGACTGGATAATGTCGTTCCTTCAGATTCTGAAACATATATCCTGGGTTAGTTTGTATAAATGGAGAAATATCCAGAACGCGGCAGGAGGATTCATTTTTAATGAGCCAAAAATAATGCATGTCACACCTCTGTTCATCAATCTGCACTGGCTACTAATAGCTGCTCGCATTAAATTCAAGGCATTAACGTTTGCCTACAAAGCCACCACTGGCTCTGCACCCCTTTACCTAAATTCATTACTTCAGAGTTATGTGCCTCTAGAAGCTTGCATTCTGCAAGTGAACATCGCTTTATTGTTCATCTCAGAGGCACAAAATCACTTTCACAGACTTTTACATTAACTGTTCCCTCCTGGTGGAATGACCTGCCCAAATCAATCCCAGCAGTCCTTAACCATCTTCAAGAAATGACTAAAAACACATCTCTTCCATCTTTATTTGACCCTCTAATGCTAGCATTTTCTATTCTAATTCTATTCTTAAAGGGGTCATATGATGTGATTTCAAGTTTTCATTTCTCTTTGAAGAGTTACAAGCTCTTGGTGCATAAAGAAGATCTGTAAAGTTGCAAAGACTAAAGTCTCAAATCCAAAGAGATATTCTTTATAAAAGTTAAGAGTCAGCCACGCCTACCTACACGCCCCCACATATCTACATCACTATGTGGGAAGATTAGCATAATGCCGCACAAATGTGCACGCAAAGAAAGAAGGTGTGGTTTCAGTAACCGCAGTTAGTGTTGAAGCAGCATGTCAGGGAGACGCTGTGTGTTTCAGTGCGAAAGCAAAAGCACTTTATTTGGCCTTCCAGAAGTAGATGCAATTAGGAATCATTAGTTAGGATTTATTTACAACAGAACAGCACAACCCAGATGTTCGAATTTGTGCAACGCATTTTATGGACAACAGTTTTTTTAACATAGAAGCAGGAGAGAGTGTGTGTGTGTGAGTGAGTGAGTGTGTGTGAGAGTGCGTGTGTGTGTCTGAGAGAGTGCGTGTGTGTGTGAGTGTGAGTGAGTGAGTGAGAGAGTGAGTGAGTGAGTGAGTGTGTGTGAGAGAGTGCGTGTGTGTGTGTGAGTGCATGTGAGTGAGTGTGTGTGTGAGTGTGTGTGAGTGAGTGAGTGAGTCTTTGTAGAAAACGAAGCGTTTGAGAGAGGCGGGGCATAGAGGACCTACAATAATGTACAGTATTTGAAAAATAATGTGTTTTTTGAACATTAAATCATGTCAATATATTCTGTTACACCAAATACACAAAATAATGATCTTTAAAAAAGCATCATATGACCCCTTTAAAAAACAACAACAACAACAAAAAAACACTTGTCCCTTTTAGACTTGCACTCTATTCATTTGCTGCTTGTTTTCTTAAAAAATAAAATAAAAAAAACTAACACTTGATTTCTAATCTTTTTGTATTCTGTTTTCTTTTCATTTATTATACAATTAACAAAAGCTAAAAGACCTCTAACACTAGCTTGCTCTATTCTGTTTCTATTCTATGTTTTCTTTTTATTTATTATATTATTTAAAAAATCCTTGCTGTGTTCTGTGTGTTCTGCGTTAAGCTAACTGAGACTTGTTATAGCACTTGCTTATTATTGCTCTTTTGCTGATTTAGATTGCTTCTATTGTCCTCATTTGTAAGTCGCTTTGAATAAAAGCATCTGTTAAATGTAAATATGTAAAAATCACAATGGATTTCAGTTTTGAGTGCTAGTTATTACTCGGGGCTAGTTGTCACAAGGTCTATTTCAGTAACTGTAAGATCTTGGGTCAAAAGTTCAATTGCACAAATCCGTTTTATATAGCGGTGCTTTTGTATGCTGGTTTTAAACACCAGACCCAAACAGTTATTATTTCTGATTTAAACTAAAATTAAAACAACATAAAATCACACACATGGATACAGATATACTGGAGGTAGATTTGAACTGAAACTGTTCAGCTGAGAGTATTTTTCATAAATGTAAAAAAAACAAACAGAATTTGACTAAAATATTAAATGCAAACAAAAGAAAAAATATGCATATCTATATTTAAAATATATCATACTGTATAGCTTTCCAGCAAAATGTGAAAAGAAATTGTAATTTAAGAATTGCATAAAATGACAAATACGTATAAACACATGACAACGTTTAGGACGAATTCAAAATGTTTTTCTAATTTTATCAAATTAATTTTACAACTTCTTTTAGCAAATTAATTCTATTTTTGACAAACAGTATGTGTGTGTAATTCATTTTTTGTAGCTTCAGATAAATTTTCCTGAGAGGTCATAAAGTATATATTTTAAATATAGATATACAGATGTGTTTTTCTTTATTTGCATTTAACAGTTTAGTCAAAACTAAAGTTTATGTCTATTTATATGCATATAGAAAAATTATTGAAAAGCACAAAAATTCCCCTGAGTTACAAGATTTAACGGTTTATTTCAACTGAAACAGAGTTTGTTGTGCTTTTTTCTGAATGACTTCTTCAGCTGACATCATCTCAAATTACAGATAATGAAAAAATAAAATAATTGCAACTTTTTATCTCACAATTCTGAGAAGAAGAAAAAAGAATTGCAAGAAACAAACTCAGCATTGAGATATAAATGTGCGATTCAGAAACAAAAGACAGAACTGTGTGATGTAAGCTTGCTATTCTAAGAAAACCGTCAGAATTGTGAACTATAAATGTGAAAATTGCAAGAAATAAAATTTTGATATAATTGATATAAACTCGCATTTCCGTAAAAAGTCATAATTGTGAGATAAATAGTTGCATTCCATGGTGGAAACAGGCTTCAATGCTCATCAAACACGATTGGATTATTTCCCATGTTCGATTGGAGAAATGATATTTACGCATCCCATCGACTGAAACTATATGAAATCACAAAACGAACCCAGAATGATTTGCTCATGAGCAACAGAGCCTTCAGTCTCAGCAGATGCCATCTCCAGCGGCGTCCTGCTCTTTGGCCTGAAGGTGGCGCTGTGACAGATAGTGTCTGAGTGCATCCACCTCGTGCGACAGGCGCTGGATGTGTAGCTGCAGGCTGTGGTTCTCGTTCTGGAGCTGCAGCGCCCTCTGCTGGGTCAGCTGGACCCGCCGGCGCGCTTTATCGCGACTCTTCCTCACCGCGATGTTGTTGCGCTCTCTGCGCAGACGGTATTCCACGCTGTCTTTGCTCGGGCCGCGCTTCTGTCCCATCGGCCGCAGGGTGGAGGCCGGGGGCGGCAGAAGAAACTGAGAAAAATCCTTCCCAGAGATTCGTGGAGTTACCGAGAACGCAAAAGAAAATAAGTGAAGATTTGAAGAAGTGAAAGCGAGCGACACATAGAGATTTCCAAGAAACGTAACGCATTGGAGCACCATACATGCAACTAGAGCTCCTCAACTAAAAGTAAAACCAGAAAATAAGATCAAATAAAATTGAACTGAAATAAAATATTACAAAAATAAACGCATTATATTGCTAGTCGCCAAGGCAACACTTCTAATTTTCGTTTTAGTTTAACTTGAAAATAACTTGTAAAAATAAATAAATAAATATATATATATATATAATCTAATCTTAAAAAATTTATAATAATAACAACAGCAGCAAACTAAAACTGAAACTAAAATTAAAATGTGTCATTTTTCTCTACTAGCCTGGGAGAAATTCATGTAATAATATGAAATAATAAAATGAAAACACTTCTCTATTATAAATCTTGGAGGGATTTGTTATAATTATTTCAGTAACTACAATAATTTCCTGCACACATAAAATAATGAAAAAAAGTATTTATTTATTTAATTATTTACTATATTATTTACCGTTTAATTTTTCTTTTAATCTCAGACTTGTATGAATGCATTGATTTACTATTATTGTGGTCATCAAACAATATTATTATACAAACATTAAATATATAATTACTAATATTAACGATTTACCACACAAGTATTATTTAATGATTAATTTTACTTTATTTTTATTTATTTATTTATTCTAACTTAATATTATTATACAAACATTAAATAAATAATTACTAATATTTAAATTAAATTAAATATATAATTGCTATTTCAGCACAGCTAAATTATTAGGCACAAATGTCTGTAGAAACTTCTAAACGGAAATTGACTTTTACATTTTGTGTGCATTTTTGAGATTTGGACCCAAAAAAAAAAAAAGTATATTGTTTATTGCTGAATTTCATGACGACCTTACATTTACATGTATTCATTTTTCACGTTATTATCCACTTGAGCAAATGAGGAAAACATCACAATTAATTTGTCACGACATTCGCAGAGTTTAAACAGCGTCTGCGTTACCTGCTGATTCTGCTGTGCTCGCTCAGTGCTGCTGGGGGTCAGACACGAGGAGTACGGCACGAAGCCCATCATCTGCTCCATGCTCCGGCCGTCCGGCGTCTTGGGAAAGGCCATGGGCTGGCCGTACAGACCCGTGTCCATCTGAGGCATCTGAGCGCTCATGCTGCTGGAGTCAGGGTTCAGGGAGGACTGATGATGGAGAGCAAACATACAGACGGAGGATGCAGGACTGTCGGAGACGGACATCTGTGGATGAAGACGATCCCAGACTGAACTCCAACAACATAAAGTGACCAATCCTCTGACAGGAGCAGAAGAGATGAGACGTTTCTGTACTTACGGCTTGTAAACGCTGCTCCTCTCAAGCACAATCTTGAAGTGTTCTTCCACAGGATCCGTTATGGTACAGGTACAATGACACCATCACTTCCTCTGTCACAACCACCCCTCCTTCCCCTCCAATTATTGTTATGTTGCATCATAGATTAACTTCTTTTTTTCTTTTCCCTGTTTTATAAGCACTTTCTACATCGTTTAAATCCTAATGTATCTCTGTTGCCCAAAAAACATGCTTCTGATACATCTTTGAGTGTTTTATTAGTTATTTCCTGCACACATAAAATATGGTTTCTGAAAAACATTGAAATAAAATATATTAAAGTGATTAAACATTCAAATGTTTTTAAAATGTGATTTCTTATTTTTTACTGTTATTATCTAACTTATTAAATATGAGTAATTATATGTTTAGATAATAACAGTAAAAAATAAGAAAACATTTTTAATGTTAATAATAATTTTAATAAATATTAGTAAAACATTTAGCATTTATATAATAAGTTAGATAATAATATAAATAAATATTAGATAATGATTAAAAACTTTGTAAATATGTTTAAAAATATATATTTACAAATAGTTTTTAATCATATTTTCATATCTAATATTTATTTATATTATTATCCAATTTATTATATAAATGTTAAATAGGCTACAAATATTTATTAAAAAATTTTTTTTCAATTTAAAATCCTTATTAACATTGAAATAGTTTATTTCATATGATTAACTATTTTTTAGTTCTTAATATTTATTATCTAACTAAATATTTTTAAACAATTACTAATATTTAGTATTTACAGAAAGTTTCTACTTAACTTTTTTGTATCTAAATAAAAAGTTATAAATAAAAATGTTAAATATATTACTCATATTTATAATTTTTTTAATTCAATTTCTAATTATTATTAACTATCTTTATTTCTTATCTAATATTTGTTTCTAATGATTAATTATCCAAACTATTATATAATTTGAAATATGTAATTACTAGTATTTACCATCCACTGCTACAATTATTACTTACTTTACTCTCAGGCATAATAAATAAACACAGAAATTGCACAGCTAAATTATCAGGTAGAAATGTCTGTCTAAAATTTGAAACGGAAACTGGCATTCACATTTTGTGTGCATTTTTTAAAACATGGACCAAAACATACAAATTAACATATATACAACGCAAAAGTAATATTTCACCAAATCTAAAATTAAACGTCAAAAATGCAGGATGTGTAAATATTCCGTCGTGACCCTAGAAGTCTCCAAAACTCCACACTGTTACAGAAGTACCTGGCTAATGTTACATTGTTTCCTCATCATTCCTGAAAGCCTAAATTGGCCAATCAGAGGAGACTCACTGGCGCCTCCTGCAGCAAGACTGAGGAACTGCCAAAGAATGAATAAAATAATAATAATAATAATGTGTACAAACGGTTCAGAAAAACTGGGTAAAAAACCGTGAGACATTTCTCAAATTAGTTTAATAGAGAGCCTCATTCCCTACCAAAGTCAAGCTGTCATAAAACGAAGTAATGTACCTTTAAATATTAACACAACAACCGTAACATAATATGAAGACCAAACAAAAGCAGACACTCACCTGTGGCTCTGTGTTCATATGAACTGGAACGAGTGATGCAGATCTTCAGAAATCATTTTATTTGTCAGTGGTACAAGTGTAAAATAAGGGCTTTCTGGTACAGTAAAAAAGAAAAAGTTTTTAGCAATGCAAAGTCATCAATACATTATTTAATAATTTATGGCTTATTGTTTTTTTTTTAATTGAGCTGCATTAAAATAAATAAATAAGAATGGTTAATAGTGTAACAATAATGATGCACGATTATATAAGATGGGATTTTTTTTTTTCATTCATTCACACAAATTTCACTGCATTCACCAGTGAATAAATTACATTTCACAAAACAGTGAAAGTTAGACCTAACACAAGAGAAAATGGGATTTTTAATATATATTTTTTTGCCTCCGCAATCTTTGAAGCAACATAAGATCAGTGCACTGGATATTACAAATGTCTTGCAAGCATTTTATAACTAATAAAATCCCAGTGGCTGAAAATCACACGCACGTTAGGTTTCGGTCCACAGACTTTTATTGAAAACAATCAGATAGAAAGTGTAATTTTAGCCCAAAGCTGAGTAAAGCAAAGCAACAATCATTGTATGACTCGCTCAATCTGTTCACAAATAACCCTCTAAATATTTTTACGTGAATGTATCTTTGTTGTTCAAACAACAAATACAAAATGTACACACATAATAATTTATGAAAACATTTTTATATATATATTTATATAATTATAACCAAGTAACTACTTTTTACTAATTATCTAATATAATTAAATATATAACAAATTACTTTTTTCTCGAAAATTATCACCCTACTTATTATATAAACACTAATATTTACTATTTAATACTAGAATTCAAATTTAATAATTATATTGCATTCTCATGCATTAAAATAACAATTTTGTATTCTCAAGTAAAAATGTTTTTAGAAATTGCAAATATTAAGAGGAACAAATGTGCTTCTAAACTGAATTCATCTTCACATTTTGTGTGCATTTTCAAGACACAAAGGTGTAAGGTTTATTGCTGATTTAAGCAAAATCAGCAATAAACGAGGGCGAGGCGTTTGAGGACGTTTCTGTCTCTGGGAGTCTGCTTTAGCTGAACGAAACCTTGAGCCGTCATGAGCAAAGACGCCTCCAGCATCACCTGCAGACAGACGGAGCACTTCACTGATAAAACCCTGACACCAGCTGACTCATACTTCTGTTTATATAACACACATATATGTGTGTGACCTGCAATGTAATCGGAAGAGCCTTCATCATCGGTTGTCAAGTTTTAAATGACACTGTGGAGTCCTTAGATAATAAACAACATTGTGCTTGTCTTTTTATTGACTTATCAAAGGCCTTTGATACTGTGGACCATGACATATTATTATTATATACATATTATTAAATGTGTAAAGATGGAAGGTGTTCGGTCAGATCCTTTGGAGATTGTTAAGGGTGTCCCACAAGGATCGGTGTTGGGGCCGTTATTATTTAGTATATATAAACTGCCCAGATTTTAATATTAATAATGCAAGATTCCATTTTTTATGCAGATGATACTATCATTTATTGCTCAGCCCCCTCTAAGCAACAATCTGCGGCTTCTTTACGGTCTGCTTTTGATATGATCCAAAATAAGGTCTTAAATGTTTAAAAAAAAAAACTAAATGCATGTCTCTATATACAGAAAACTCTATTGTTCTTCATTGTCAGAGTACAAACACTTGGGTATTATTGTCGATAACACACTACGTTTTGGTTCACACATTAAGCATTTGAGGACAAATTTAAAGAAAAAGTTAGGGTTTTACTTATTTCTAAAGTGGTGTTTTTCATTCAATGCGAGGAAGAAATTAGTGGCCGCTACTTTTCTCCCGGGTCTCGATTATGGGGATGTTTATCAGCATGCTCCCTCTTACCTTCTTGGATGCTTTGTACCATAGTGCTCTGAGATTTATAACCGAGCGTACATTTTCAACACATCATTGTGAACTGTACAAAAGAGTTGCATGGCCTTCTTTGAGTATTCAGAGAAAATGCATTGGCATCTGTTGATATATAAAGCCATATTGGGTTATTTGCCATATTATCGCTGTTTTTCATTCAAAGGACCTCGTCTGGCAATGACTCTTTACCTTCTCAATCAATTTATAATCTTTGTCAAAACTGAGCTTGGTAAAACCTCCTTTAAATATGCCGCCACTTCAGATTGGAATCTTCTCCGAAAGGAGATGAAGTTACAAAACTTGGTGTCTTATAATTATTAAGTTTTTACTACGTAATCTAGAGAGCGAGTTAATGGTGTGCAATTGATTTAAAATGGTTATTAGTATTGTATGTTGCAACTATGCTGTATATATATATATATATATATATATATAATAAAAAATATATAATATAAATAATACAATATTATATAACTAAATAAATAAAAATTATATATATATATAACAAAAAATATATAATATAAATAATACAATATTATATAACTAAATAAATAAAAATTATATATATATATAACAAAAAATATATAATATAAATAATACAATATTATATAACTAAATAAACAAAAATTATATTTATATATATATAATAAAAAATATATAATATAAATACAATATTATATAACTAAATAAATAAAAATTATATATATATCATATATATATATATACATCATATAAAATAACCTGATTATTCATTATATAAACCAAAAGTCCACACTGTACTATTAAAAATAAATAAAATAAATGTATTATGTATTATTGGTGCAGAAGCTGCGAGATTAACGAGTAAATCTGTATAACTGACCTTATGTATTCTGCATTATAATACAGCGTCACGCGTGATCAGCAGAGAAACACGCCTCATGCTTACCTCTAAAATATTGACATGCAAACGCAGGCACTGTTTACTGCTTCTGAAAATGAGAAATATAGAGATAATTATAATGTATAAACTGATAATTGGCCCATAGAGGATGCAAGTCATTAGTTTGGGCTTATTTAGCTGAATATATCAGAGAATAACCTCAAAAGTACTGACCTGCTGGGTTTATACTGGTTTCCTTTATCAGGACGAACAGTTCCTCTGAAGACTTTAAATGCACTTTCATAAATGCATGAAAGAATAATATAATGCATATAACAATCATTTTGGTTATTTCAGTTCTCTTTAATAACCAGACGAGCCTGTGAAGCTGGTCCAGAGTTGAATCTCTAGTTAAAGCAGGTTAACAATTAATTCTTGGTTAATTTATTAAGCTGTTATTAACCCAAAATATACTGCATATAATTACAATCAACACAGGAAGCATAAATACAGGGGGTGTGGACACGGAGGATTTAAAACCCTTCTTTGATTTAGTTTCTGATGGTTTAGTATTTCTGTAATTATCATCTTAATTGTCTTTAAACTAAGACCAAGTATATACATGAATATAATGTCGTTAGAACACTGCGCAAATCTTTGTATGATTGAGAAACGTTTGCAGAACAGTTTTTGTTTTGCATAAATTAAAAACATGCCATCCAGTGATGTAATCCTTCAAGACTTCATAGCTTATATATATATATATATATATATATATATGGTATATATATTTAAAAAAATTGTGAATTTTCCCGTCCACTCACAGGAAGGAAAGATAACGCTCTGCAGCAAACAATCAGGATGAAGGACTAATTCATCGAAAAATGGAAAAATTTTCATTTATACGCCCTCATATCGTTCTAAATCAGTAAGCTGTTATTTGTTTTGTAAAGAATCTTCATGCAGATATTTCTATATTACAACAGCATACAGTTATTTAAATTTTCAGCATATGTAAATAATTTTAATTTATGGGTGAATTATTCCTTTTAAAAGACTAGTTCACCAAAAAATGTAAATGTCCTGAAGATGTGTTTACCCTCAGGCCATCCGAGATGAGTTTCTTTCTTCATCAGGAAATTTGCATCGGTGTCGCACTGCAAGTGAATGGGTGCCGTCAGAACGAGAGTCCAAACAGCTGATAAATACATCACAATAATCCACAGCACTCCAGTCCATCAGTTAACATCTGGAGAAGACAAAAGCTGAAACTAATCCAGCATTAAGGCATTTGTAACTAAAATACGAGTCCATAATCTAAAATAAGGCTTGCTCCAGTGAAAAAGTGCATCTGCTGTTGTCTCTCACATCAAAATCCAGCCACATATGTGGTAACTAAAATACGAGTCCATAATCTAAAATAAGGCTTCCTCCAGTGAAAAAGTGCATCTGCTGTTGTCTCTCGCATCAAAATCCAGCCACATATGGGTTTAGAGCTGTTTAAACGCTGCTTGATCTGTGCAGATTTCTCTCCTGATTCACACCAGAACACTTTTTCACTGGAGGAAGAGTTATTATGGATTTTGGACTCGTATTTGAGTTAAAAACGTCTTAATGCTGGATGTGTTTCAGCTTTTGTCTTCTTCAGATGTTAACTGATGGACTGGAGTGCTGTGGATTATTGTGATGTCTTTATCAGCTGTTTGGACTCTCGTTTTGACGGCACCCATTCACTTGCAGTGAGACACTGATGCAATGCTACATTTCTCCAAACCTGATGAAGAAACAAACTCATCTCGGATGGCCTGAGGATGAGCACATCTTCATTTTTGGGTGAACTATTCCTTTAAAAAAACATTTGTTTCTATGTCTGCTTATAACGTTTTGAGTTTTTCCACTCTCTACACTCCCGTCATCATATTTTACATGAAAAAGATACCGTACATTTTCTTAAAAAGAAACGTAAATAAAACCCCTCCTAATCTCCAACTCAAGTCGACTACAAAATAATTACAATATATGTACAAAACGGATGCACTGATGATCGCGGCACGTTAGTGTGAGAGAGAGAGAGAGATGCATCATGGGAAATGGCGTTCTTGGAGCTTTCTCAGATGTTCGGTTTCATCGGCGGCGCTCCTTAAACATTCACGAATGTTTAAAAACCAGTTCCTCGGCTTTGACTGGATTTGATGACGTCATTGCTAACAAACACATCACTGGAATGTTAAATGAGAAGAGGAGGAAGAGGCGGTAAAAAAAAAACATCCATCAAGAGAGAATTCATGCCCAGAAAAGATCCTCCTTCCCGTTCACACTCGGATAATCATGCGTGAGCCGAGCGGCCCGTAGACGTCAGACAGAATCAGGAAGTGCAGGTGAGCGTGTGCTTTGAATGTGAAGTGTTACGAACGGAGTTTCCGCGTCAGCGTCAAATCCTCACGTGGATTTCTGCCGGTAGTGGAGCGTCAGGTCGCCGCCGCTCTTCCAGATGAAGTGCTTGACCGTTCGCAGGTCCATGTTGGGATCCAGAACCTGAGGAAAGCAGCACAACATCATGCCACAAAGACGGCATTTCTTTGAACGTGCATCATGTCTGATTAAGTTTATACGCAGGAAGACGACAGATCTGATGTGTTCAAGTCATCATGGGATAATTATGTAATTATGAGGTGCGTTTGACCCTCATGTTGCGTTCTGGTTAATTTAACTCGGAAAGGATTTTCTTTTCTGCAAAAATGCTAGTTAGTGTTGTTATTATTTGACAAAACGTTTGTTACAATGACCAGCCTAGAAAAAAATTGCTTATAAATCTCACATTACACTGTAATATCACCAAATCTTGGATTCGATCTTTTTATAAACTTGTTTTCTTTCAATTAGCATGGGTTATTTATTGATTTATTTCTGGATCCGATTGATTGTTGGCCTCTGAGCTCATGCGCCTCCGTTTTTCAGCCAGAATTACGCATGAGCTCAGATCAATGAGGCCTATGATCAATCATCTCCAGAAAGAAACACAAAAAACCTGTGCTATTGGAAAGAAAACAAGTTGATAAAAAAGATTGAATCCAATAGACCGTAAAATAAAGAGATTTACAAGCAATTTTTAAAAGTCAAATCAGGTAAAGGATTTTTTATCACAGCACAAATCACTTTGGTCGGAGCAATGTACATTTTTTTGCATAAAATTCAACAATATTTTTTAATTCTACATCTAAAAAATTATGAATAAATAATGTGCCATAGGGCCATTTTACTTTTTTATATTTTTATTTAATTTATGAAAGTATACAATCGCAATTGTACATTACTATGGTATTTTGTACATGCAACTTTACTGTTGGTGACAGTAGCCATTGATTTCCATAGTGTTTTTTTCCGCTACTATTGAAGTCAATGGCTACCGTCAGAGGTTTGGTTCCCAACATTCTTCAAAATCTCTTTTTCAAAATATCTTATTTTGAAGAAAGTTGGAAAACAAATGTTGGGATGTTTGAAAACAAACAGTTGACGGTAGCCATCGACCTCCATAGTGTTTTTTCCTTACTATTGATGTCAATGGCTACCGTCAATGGTTTGTTTTTCAACATTCCAACATTTGTTTTCCAACATTCTTCAAAATATGATATTTTGAAGAATGTTGGAAAACAAACAGTTAATGGTAGCCATTGACTTCCATAGTGTTTTTTCCTTACTATTGAAATCAATGGCTACCGTCAACTCTTTGGTTCCCAACATTCCTCAAAATCTCTTTTTCAAAATATCTTATTTTGAAGAATGTTGGAAAACAAACAGTTGACGGTAGCCATTGACATCCATGGTAGGGAGGGGAAAAAATACTATATAAGTCAATGGCGACCAGCAACTGTTTGGTTCCCAACATTCTTCAAACTATCCAAAATACCTTATTTGTAAATGCATTGTAATGCAAATTTACCATTAATACAGGTTCTGCTAGAGATTAACATTATCGATAACAAATGCTGTAGAAGTATCAGTCAGTGTTAGTTCTCTAATGTAGTAAACTAATGTTAAAAACAAATGAAACCTTATTGTAAAGTGTTACCGGAAACGGTTACCAACAAAAATGACAGGTACAGTATCAAAACGACCGAAATAACAAAACTGCGCTGGTGTTGGTGTCGTCTAATGAAATACCTGGTCTTGGCAGAGCAGCTCAATCTTCTCCTCCGCTAGCACTGCCATCTCCTCCTCCTCTTTCTGCTCGCTGGGCTTCTCTGCGGCCGAACCGCCTGTCTGCGACTCGCTGTCCAGGTTGATGATCTTTTCATACACGTGTTCCATCACCTTCCTCACCTGTAACATGTCACTGGCCGACAAACGATCCCTACAAACGCACACAAACACACATTTCGTGCATATTGATGTGCAACGGCATCCAACAAGTGTGTTCAGGGATGAGCTGAAATTATTGTTCGTGCAACAGATGCCATGAACAGATGATAAAAATAAACAATCGACCACTTTTTCACTGCCATTTATTTATAAAAAATTCAATAAAGACTTTTAAAGGGATAGTTCACCCAAAAATTAAGATTGGCATCATTTACTCATGTTCAAGTTGTTCCAAACCTGTATAAGTTTCTGCCTTCTGTTGAATGCACAGAAGATATTTTGAAGAATATAGCAAACCAAACAGTTGACGGTAGCCATTGACTTCCATATTAGAGGAAGTCAATGGCTACCGTCAACTGTTTGGTTCCCAACATTATTAAAAAAAATCTCTTTTTCAAAATACCTTATTTTGAAGAATGTCAGAAAACAAATGTTGGAATGTTGTAGTTGACGGTAGCCATTGACTTCCACAGAGTTTTTCCCTACTATGGAAGTCAATGGCTACCATCAACTGTTTGGTTCCCAACATTCTTCAAAATATCTTTTTTTGAAGAATGTTGGAAAACAAATTTTGGAATGTTGCAGTTGACGGTAGCCATTGACTTCCATAGAGTTTTTTCCCCTACTATGGAAGTCAATGGCTACCGTCAACTGTTTGGTTCCCAACATTCTTCAAAATGTATTTATTTATTTTTAAATTGTGTGTTCAGCAGAAGATAGAAACTCATACAGGTTTGGAACAACTTGAAAGTTATCATTTTTTGGGTGAACTATCCCTTTAAACCAAGAATGAAATTAAACTTGTAGGTCCATCTTTAAATTATAGTTATAAATCTACTTCTCTATAGAGAAAAATCAAGGGATTTTTACACCCAAAACCAACGTTTGCATCCTATAGTCCAGGGATCTCCAAACTACTGCCCTGCAGAGTTTAGCTCCAGCTTTCCTCAACACACCTGCCTGGAAGTATGCCTAGTAAGAGCTTGATTAGCTGCTCTAGTCTCTGTCTAAGAAGCTTCAGACTGAAACGTCACCGTCACACGTACTTCTTTAACGTCTTTGCTCCAGAGGACGAATGGGGCTGGAGGTAGAACGGGATTTTGTTGAATTTGGGCATGTTTTTCTGTAAGAGAAAGAAATACAGTATCTCACAGAAGTGAGTACACCCCTCACATTTTTGTAAATATTTTATCATATCTTTTCATGTGACAACACTGAAGAAATGACACTTTGCTGCAATGTAAAGTAGTGAGTGTACAGCTTGTATAACAGTGTAAATTTGCTGTCCCCTCAAAATAACTCAACACACAGCCATTAATGTCCGAGCATCTCAAGGTCTCGAACATCCAGCAGCTCCGTGATGTTGTGGAAGAGGACTCCAGTGGCAACCTGTGAAGCTCTGGTGAACTCCATGCCCAAGAGGGTTAAGGCAGTGCTGGAAAATAATGGTGGGCGCACAGAATATTGACACTTTGGGCCCAATTTGGACATTTTCACTTAGGGGTGTACTCACTTTTGTGGCCAGCGGTTTAGACATTAATGGCTGTGTGTTGAGTTATTTTGAGGGTACAGCAAATTTACACTGTTGTACAAGCTGTACACTCACTACTTTACATTGTAGCAAAGTGTCATTTCTTCAGTGTTGTCACATGAAAAGATATGATAAAACATTTACAAAAATGTGAGGGGTGTACTCACTTCTGTGAGATACTGTAAGAGTACATTATATAAGAGAAATCACAAGTGTAAAACACTTTGAAGAGGACTTTACGGACACTTACGTCCACGGTGATGTCGATGACCCACTGCGGGACCGTCTCGTTGAGTAACATGGACTCAGTTTCTCCACCGGAGTCTCGACACAGCAGCCTGAGCACAGACGTCATTTCATCAGCGAACGCCAGCGTCTACAGAGCTGATCAAACAGAGGACACGCACCTGAATAACGTCCTTCCTCCCGCTTCACCGAAAATCACCGGCGTGTGCGGCGGCACCTGGAAATATCCGTTTCCCTTCTGTATCCGGCTCTCGTGCTCACCGTTCACTGAGGAAACACGACATACGCCATCAAGACCATCCGAAGAAATATCAGCCTTTTCCCAGAAAATATTGAGCATGAAAAAGATTTCATTTCTTCATTAAATGTAATTATAAAGAAAAATAAATGCATAAAATCAAGTCCTGTCCAACATTATTTCACTCTGAAATACCAGATTAGGGAAGTTAAATGAGTTATGAAACAATACAAGTATTTAATTACTGTACATCATCATCATCATCATTATCTAGCAGTAAACAAAAAATATGTATAATTAATATACGTATTTCGCATAATATACATATTTATTATTATATGTAATTTATAATATTATATATACATATGTTTATATCATTTAATATAATTATATATGTTAGCATTATTATTATCTACCATATGTATAATAAACATATTTCACATAATATACATATATGCAATTTATAATATACATAATATAGACATATATATTTTTTTTTTTCTATCATTTAACATAATTATATATGTTAGTATTATTATTATCTACCATTAAACAAAAAATATGAATAACTAATATACGTATTTCACATAATATACATATTTATTATATGTAATTTATAATATATAGATATATATATTTATATAATTATATATGTTAGCTATAATATATACTTATATAATTTAATATAATTATATATATTAGTTATAAAGTTATTGTTGTTATTATATAATACAGTAATTACAAACTTGGATATTATTTCGTCAAATTAATTAAATTTTATATTACAAAAATACAATATGCAAGTTTATAATTAATTACTGTAAACTGCATTATTATTATTATTATTATATGTAGCATTATTTATACATGTGTAATATGTTAATTAAATGTGTTAATAATAATATTATACTGTAATTTCTAAACTAATTACAACATTTATATCGAAAAAAAATAAATAAATATATATATATATATATCCAAGTTTAGAATTACTACGCATATATATATATATAAATAAATAAATATAATATTACATATATCATTTAATAATTTTATTTTATATAATATATATTGATTTATATATTTTAAAAACATTATTTTATATATGTATATTCATTTATTTCATAATATTAGATTTTAAAATCAGTGTTTTATGGACTGATTGATTGCTATTCCAGCATCTGTGTTTTTTCGTGGCAAGATCAGCAGATTTTGGGGATGAGTTATAGAGTCTTTACCGCTCCCATGATTGAGTTCGGTCTCCTCGTCCGTGGGGTTGGTGTGAGTGCGAGGCCAGTACTCCAGCAGAGCCTGCAGCAGCAGCCCGCCCAGATTCACTGCAGCACAACACAACACACATTAATAACTCATCTTTCTCATCTACTGTCATGATAAACGGCTCGGCTCACGTTTAGGGTCGGATCCGTCAGGGCTGGTGAAGCCAGCATCTTTAGCAGAAACCCAGGCTGCAAAGCAGTCGCTCTCGTCCAGCGTTATCGTCAACATCTGTCAATCACAAGCCAGACGATGCATAAAACATTCACTGTGATGTGCTTAAACACCGTCCTGCCGTGACGTACCCCTGTCTTCAGATCCACCGAAAACCAGTTCGGCACATAAACCATCTTGAACCTTTTCTTGTTCTCTTCATCAACCTCCATCTTGCCCAAGTCTTCGACTTTACAGGCCTGCGAAACAGACAGCGAAGCAGTCACAGGACGGATGGGTCACGTGTCGAGGCACACGCATGTAAACGTTACCTTCAGCACATCCCAGTACGCCACGTTATTGTTGGTGTCTTTGGTCAGAATGTGTCGTTTGTCGTTCAGAATGTGGCACTGAATTATACTGGCGCCACCTACAGGTCAAAACAAGACATTCACTTGAGTACTAAAATAATTCAAACTAAGACATTTAAGACTATATCATGTAGCACTATAAACAAACAAACAAATACGTATAATTTGTGTATACTTAATAATACTTAGAAAAACTAAATAAAAAAATTATAAAAATATAAACTATAAATGGAAAATATAAAAATACAAATTATGACAAAAATTAAACAAATAAAATTATTATGTCGCATTATAAACAAACAAATAAATATGTATAATTTGTATATATATATATATATATATATACTTAATACATTATTTTTAATAATTATTACATATACACAGTAATTATAAACTTTAGAAAAACAAAATTGAATTATAAAAAATATAAATTCAAACATAAAATATAAAAATACAAATTATGACAAAATATAAACAAAAATAATTATGTCGCATTATAAACAAACAAATAAATATGTATAATTTGTATATATATATATATATATATATATACTTAATAATTAATATATTATTCTTAATAATTATTTAAACAGTATTTATAAACTAAAAACAAAAAAATATATAAAAATTATAAATTAAAATAGAAAATATAAAAATACAAATTATGACAAAAAATAAATAAATAATAATTATACATTTTATATTACAAACAAATACAATATCATGCTAAAGATGCTGTTCGATGGAGATTCTAATTATTAAACATATGTGAAGATCCTGTAAAACACTGAAGCACATGCAGACAGCCGTACCTTTGATCAGCTGCTCTGTCTGCGTGCACAGCGGCGTCAGCGGAGCGCTGCAGTCATTGTCGTAATCACCAGACGCTCGGAAATTATGGATACCCTTCAGAGACTGGGGAAAAAACACAGAGACATTATTCAAAACAACGCCCAATATCAAGAGAACAGACCGTTTTCTACATTTTCACTGTTTTCAAAATAAACAAACCGAGAAATGAAATTATGGATCAGTGTTATTGTAGTATCACTGATACAGTATTATAGTTTCTGTTAATATTTCGGATTAGATTAAATTTTTTCAAGTTCCACTTTCATTTAAGATTATAGTCATTTTGTTGTGTTTTTATAATTTGTAATATTTACACACACACACACACACACACATATATATATATTAGAGCTCAACCGATATGGGTTTTGTGGGTGTTCATATCGGCGGCATATTAGCCGATACGATATATCGGCGACAGGCTCATATCGGCCGATAATATCGGCTAAACGATATACTGGTCGGGCTCTAATACATATATATATATATAATCAACTTTATTCCGTTGAAGTTTATTTCACTTCGGAACATTCATTCACGGATTTGCTATGTTTGCTATGATATATGTTCTGTAAAAAAAATGTTCATATCGGCGGCATATTAGCCGATACGATATATCGGCGACAGGCTCATATCGGCCGATAATATCGGCTAAACGATATACTGGTCGGGCTCTAATACATATATATATATATAAATATATAGCTTTTAATAATTTCTAGTTTTATTTGTTTTAGTTTGTTATTTTAGTACTTCAAGTACTAAAACAGCTGAAATTCAAGTATCTGAAATGAAATAAATACGTTTTTTTCTTAAATATGTTATTTTATTTCAGTCAATGTTTATTTCATTTATTTTTTGATGGTTTTAGTTTTAGTAGTACAGAAAATGTAACTAAAAAAGCAACTAAAATCTTGAAGAATGCATAATCTTGCTTTTTACGAATATTTTTCACTTACATCCATTTTCATGAGAGCATAATCCTATTTTATCTCCTATTCAAAGATGCATAAAGATGTCTAACTTTAGACCAGGATTGTCAAACTGAATTTTAGGAGGATCTGCATTTTTTTTTACGTGTTAAAGCTTTAATAACTAACATCAACATGAAAAAGAGAAACCTATTCACTGCAACTGGTGAATTCACTAAAAGCCCTGCATCTAAACATTATGGTGTAAAAGAAAAAAAATTGCTGCTCGTTTAAATTCTTCTCCGTCAAACTCTGACAGGATCAAATTAGTATTAATGCATCATATCTAATAACCATTCAGTGAATGCAATAGTGACAATACTCTTTCTGTCTGCCCACAGCTCCAGTTTCAGATGAAAAGTGTGAATTGCATAATTAACAGAAGCATTCTACTATTTTAAGATGCGACCCATAACATGCAACACAACAAAGTACACCGTTACTTAAAAACAGTATCTCTGCAGGGATGTTTAGCCGAAGGGCGACGGTAATTAATGAGTAAAGGAAGCCGCAGCAGAATATCTAAAGCTCAGCTGTAGATGTGTGTGTTACACAGCGGCTGGAGCAGCTGCACTTACCCACTTATTAACCGTGGACTTCGTGGTGGAAACCCAGATGGCCGAATGCGGATCAGCCGAGCGGTCCAGCTCCATCTGAGAGACAGAGAAGCACACATTCACACCTCAGTAACTTTCACTTGCTTCCCATGACCTGCTCACGCTCCACAGCTGCTGCGTGACGCATAAACCTGCACCCTTGATTTAAACCTATGGGGATGTTTGGTATATATGTTCGTTCTTTCTTAAGTGAGAGAAAAAAAAAAAGAGGAAAAAAAACAAACAAAAAAAAAAATATATAATGTTTTTTAAATAATTAAATTTAATATGTAATTTAAATATATATATATTAATTTATTTATTTATTTTCAATATTTAATATTTAATTCAAATATATATTTAATATCCATATATAACTTAATTTTTTTTTTATATAATTGAATATTTAATTTAAATATATGTATTTTTCATATATATATATGTGTGTAAATATTTTTTTAATTCATATATATTTAAAATATTTATATATACATTTTTACACACATATATTCTTATATATATATATATATATATATAATATATATATATATATATACACACACACACACACACACATATATATATATAATTTCAATAGAACTACACAAAAATATGATCATAAACCCAAGAGAAATGTTTCTTCATAAGAAGTTAAAGAAACTGTTGTGAAAGTGTGTGGCGTTGTATGTCACTGTCGCACCTTCAGCACAGGAGCCTTCTCCTCGCAGATCAGCACACGGATGTCAGGACTGCGCAGGTCTGTGCAGTATATCTTCCGGTCGCGGCCTCCGGAGTACACGTGCGTGAAGGCCTCGTTGACCTGCAGCGCCCAGACGCCCTCGTCGTGAACGCGGTACGTGGCGATGCACCTCTGCTGACCCAGAGACCAGAGCCGGATCGTCCCGTCTGAGCTCCCTGAGAGACACTGAGCACACAAAAACCAGCTCGTTTAGAGCGCAAAGGCTTTTAAACCTTCTACAGTCCACAATAGAACAAGAACAAGACTGCTGCTTGCAATCGGATTCAATCCTGCATCTAAAGAAGAACAAATCTGAAATCGTGAAAATGCGTAAGCTAACTGAAAAGCATGCATATTAACTTTTGCATAAATAGACAATCACAATATGCATTATAAGTGTCCCTGCAGCACAAAAGCAGTGTTAAGTCGCTGGGGGATATTTGTAGCAATAGCCAACAATACATTGTATGGGTCACAATTATACATTTCTCTTTTATGGCAAAAATCATTAGGATATTAAGTAAAGATCATGTTCCATGAAGATATTTTGTAAATGTCCTACCGTAAATATATCAAAACTTAATTTTTGATCAGTAATATGCATTGCTAAGAACTTCATTTGAACAACTTTAAAGATGATTTTCTCAATATTTAGATTTTTTTGCACCCTCAGATTCCAGATTTTCAAATAGTTGTATCTCAGCCAAATATTGTCCGATCCTAACAAATCATACATCAATGGAAAGCTATTTATTCAGCTTTCAGGTGATGTATAAATCTCAATTTCGAAAAATTGACCCTTATGACTGGTTTTGTGCTCCAGGGTCACATATGTGCATTATATGCAAAAATGCGCCAGTTCTTCACTGAAATTAATGATAAATTATTAAGGCTTAAGTGTAAGTCTGAGCTGTTTTAACTGAAAGAAACCAGTCATGTTTTTTCTAAGGCACGTTAATAAAAATAATTGAACTATTGCCTGACTTAGTCTAAGCCCTATCTGTGAAACCAGGCCCATACTTATTATTTCCCAGAAAAACAAACTCATTTTTCTACCAACAAAGTGTGTGTGTCTCACCTGAGTCCCGTCTCTGTTGAGCAGCAGCGATTTGACGTTATCTGTGTGTCCTTTCAGTTTCATCAGTTTGGCACAGGTTCGCGGGTCCCACACTCTCAGAACCTGACGAAGATATCACAGAAACAAAGACGATCTGAAACTAGCGACACCAGAAAGAGAGTGCAAGTAAACAGCAAATATCAATACAAGAGCCTGAAGAAATCAGGAGATACTGTGAGAAGAAGAAATACATCCCTCTATACAACATCAGCATCTTTCAAAATGACTGTAGAGACAACATGTAATGAAAATGAACTCTCTTAATATGTCCCTGGTCTCATTTTGCATGATCTTGATGTATATATATATATATATAAAAACACTATGAAAATGTAATTTTAAAAAGTTGAACAAAATAGCCACATTCCAGTTTCTTCCATGAAAATACATCATATCCTGTATGTTAAATGCATTGTGATGTCAGATTTGAGGATTCGAACCTTTTCAGTGGATCCTGACACTATAACCGTCCCCATCTGATTCATGGCCAGACTGTAGATGGAGTCCTTGTTCCCACTGAGAGAAGACGCTGTACAACATGAAAACATAAATAAATAAATAATTAAATTATTATAAATAAATACATTATTAATAATAAATAAAAAAAGTATTATTATTAAATAAATAAATAATTAATAAATGAACAAATACATTATTATTAAATAAATAAATAAAAGTATTAATAATGAATTATTTAATAATAATAAATTGATTATGTAATAAATTATTAATAATAAATAAACAAATAAATTATTAATAAATGCATAAATTATTAATAATAAATACACAAATAAATTATTATTAAATAAATAAATTACTACTAATAAATAAACAAATACATTATTATTAAATTAATTAATTAATAAATGAACAAAAATAATTATTAAACAAATAAATAACATTATTAATAATTAATTATTTAATAATAATAAATTGATTAAGCAATTAATTATTAATAATAAATAAACAAATACATTATTATTACATAAATAAATAATTAATAAATGAACAAATAAATAATTAACAAATAAATAAAATTATTAATAATTAATTATTAATAATAAATAAATAAATTATTATTAAATAAATAATCACAACAGTTTTTACAAAGAGAATAACAGACACAATGCACACTTCAATATAGAAAAGCATGAAAAAAAAACATTTAATCAACTGTCAGATTCGTACCAGGAACTCTTTGCATTAAATTAAAAACACCAACCCATGCATAACAGCGGAAATAAAGCGTCAGCACATTGTTTCTCTACTATAAAATGTAAAAGCTGTCTTTTTTGAAAGTCTTCTTGCATGTTTCTGGTCATGCACCTGGTTTGTCTGGATGTGTGCATAACATTTCATGACTGTACCTAGTGTTAATTTTGTTAATGAGCTTTTTTCCCCATGGCTAAGACGAGACAATGACGACAATAAGCTCAATAAACGATAACTGTGACTATAGCAACATGCGATATCGTTGACGAAAAAAGACGAGACTAAAATGTATTTTAAAAAATAAAAACTATACCAAAATGTCTTTTACTTTTTGTTGAAGAAAATGTTTTTTGCTTATTTCTTTGCAATCTGGCAACCACTTATAAATGATTACATGCAAAATTAATAGTGGTTATTAAGATTGATGTGGTTTAGAATTGGTAAAGTGTGCTTGGAAAACAAATATGACCAGAATATCAATTTATCAACTTAATATCAACTGTAGAGAAACATTATTGCTATTAGGAATTTTAAAATGTTAAAATTTTTGTTTGTTTTTGCCAGTTTTCATAATGTAGGCAGAGAGAGCGCATATCTAAGTTTTTGATATTAATTTATATGTAAAATAGCCTGTAATAAATCATGGATGAGGTCAAATAAACATTTCTCAAATGACAACGATCTTTTCAATTATAATTTTGAGCAAAAATTATATATATTTTTTAATCAGTTTAACTATTATACAGCTTGAAGAACATAAACAGGACAAGCTTGACTAAATATGATAATAACATACAAGTACATCTGACACCAGGACTAAGGCTGACTAATGAGCACTAACTGTACCTTGTGCGTTCGCAGTGTGGACATGCAGAAGCCCTTGTGTGCGTTCCAGACCTTCACCGTGGTGTCTGACGATGCTGATATCACTGCAGACACAACAGAGACACATATACATCTGTACTGCATTCATACGAGCACATGAGAACTGCACTGCACGCGTCAGACGCTCACGTGTTTTCCCGTTGCAGCAGAGGACGATGTCATTGACCCAGTCTGTGTGATGCTCCATCGATGCAATGTATGGATCCTGCTGCAAAACACACACACACACGCACGCACGCACGCACACACACACAGACACGCACACACACACAGACAGACAGACAGACA